TGATATCATAAATTTGACTTACATTAGGAGGGTATAATACAGTATTTTACCTGGAAAATTCATTCATGTCCCACCATTACCCTCGAAGTTCTGAAGACAAATATATGAACAGAACAATTAATCTAAAAGATTAGGGCAGTAATTTGCTTTTTGTTCTTAAGAAATTACATAAAAGACCCAGTACAGAACTTAGGTAGGCTAAGATGGACTATGTTGAGCCACCCCTAAACCTTCATCCTAATCCCCAAATTAAATCATGCCATCCAACCAAATACAGAATTTCACAGGAAAGAGTCGTCACAGCAGAGTTTGGTTCCCTGCCAGTCTGAGTATGCTTAGCATGTCTTGAGGTAGCTCTCAAGTGAACTGTCTACAATATTGTTTTACCTAGGCCTATCAAAAGGGGAAAAAAAAATTGTGACTGCAACTTTTACACCATTTGAAACTTTTACATGTGATAAAATGTGACCAACTCAGTGTCCAAGAAGAATACAAAAATGAGTTATTATCTTGGAGTGATTCAAATAGAAAAAATATTTAAAGATGTGCAATGGATAATAACTGTAAAGGGAAGAGTACAGAAGGAATATGGTGAATAACTAAACTGGAAGGAAGGATAAGGAATACACGGCATATATGGAGATAAAGAGTTTTAACTCATCTTTGAGGGGATTAGTGACAACTGATTTGGGGGACGTCCCTAAATCTACTAATCTAGATGTAACTCAGTTTCTCCTTTATCTTTCAACAAGACACACACACTGCTACCAAAAACCTGAAGAAGTGTACCTACAGAGAACAATACTGGACAAAGGCCTGCTTTTGCTTATTGTGATAATTTAGCCTTAAAAACCAAATCAACCGTCTTGTAATTCGGGTTCTACAAAGTGGAAGTCTTAATTTGCCCTTGGATGCCGACTAAAGGTCTAGTACAGCAAAGATTTAAAAAGCAACATTTTTAGTTCCTTTTTTTTTTAAATTTTATTTTGTTATGTTATGTTAATCACCATACATTACATCATTAGTTTTTGATGTTCTATGATTCATTGTTTGCGTATAACACCCAGTGCTCCATTCAATACGTGCCCTCTTTAATACCCATCACCAGGCTAACCCATCCTCCACCCCCCCTCCACTCTAGTTCCTTTTTAATAAGCCCATACCCACTTTCCATTCTGATAGTGATAAAGGATCAGTTCAAGAAAAACAAACAGCCTTGGAGAAAGTTGACCTTTGTGAGGCCTAGAGAAGTTAAGTAGGAGACTAATCTGACCCCTTTCCAGCACCTAGCCTATACTCAGACAGAAAAGGGCTATCTCTATGGTCTCAGAACTTTAAACCCCTTTACTTATCATTGTGAACACAAAAGAGCAAATAATATTCCATGGCCTGTTGCTGAGCTATTCTTAGAGGAAAAGTAAAGGTTATATGCCCTTTGTGTTGCCTTTACAGCCTAATATTAGGAGAGGTAATTCTGCTTCTATCTAGAAATGTAAACACAAGTATTATGTGTATGTAAACACAAGTATTTAATATTTAATTCTCTGTCTTAAAAATAGTCATGGCAACACTGGAAGAACATGAATATTGGGTACCATTCTATATCAAGTCTGAAGAAAAGTAAAGAGGAATCAACAATATTCAGTGGCTGAGAGACTAAGTTTATATGACACATTTGGAAGAAAGTGCAGTAAAGAGTGCCAAACTGTTCTGTTAACAGAGCCTTCTCACTTACCATCCCCTTTGCTTAGAATGTTTTCTCTTTTGTCTTTTTGCAAGACTGATTCCTTTGATCCATAAGGACACAGCTGAAATCTTAGTAGAAGTTCCTGAAAGAATCATTTCTAGTATCTCCAGCCCCTCAATAACATTTCAAATTTAGTAAGACCCTAAATAATCTAAGGACTTAAATCTAAAGCCAAACTGGGTGACCTAATTATAACAAAGCACTTTGAATTTGGGCACCAAAACTGTGGATAAAATTGAATAAAGCAGGTATCATTAGGAATATATTTGGAGACAATTTCTAACTTACTTGAGCCTAGCCAGTCTAGTCCCTGAATGTCTGGCCATGCTTAATGGCCATTAAGATGACTCTAACCAAATAATCTGAAAGGCCCAATGGCCATCTGTCTAAAACAGCCTTAGATTAACAGAGTATTTACTGGGTAGTGCCAAAATTGTTATAAACTCAAGACATTCAGGGAAGTAATTTTTCTTCCGAATGGACAAGTAACAAGCCAGTTTTCTTGAGGATGCCAAGGCTATTAAAATAATTTCAATTCCCTTCTCCACTATACCTTGACTAGGGTAATGAGGGACACTAAAAATTTAACTTCTCTTTTCACTAAGCTTTCTACCCTTTATTCCTTGTATGATTTTGAGAATAACCAAGGTAACATTAAAATTAACTTATATCTTATTCATAACTCTTTTGCATGAAGTCTATTTATAAAGACTTGGTCATCTGGAGAGGAATGAGGGGCAACTCTGTTACTAACCTTATTTCTAGAAATAGAAATTTAATCTGTAATGAAAGAAGCTATCTTGATGACTCCCATTATAGCTATTATTTAACACCTTATTCTTGTAATTCTCTTCACAATTTCATTAAATATGCTTGTTGGTTTGATTACACGTGTTTAATTCTTCTTTCTATAACCAGACAGTGGGCTTCTATTCATGTTTCTTTTGTTCTCTTTTATATATTCATTTCCTAAAATACTACCTGGAATACATAGAAGGAGCTAAATAAATACGTATGGAATGAAAGAATTAAGGAATAAATAATCAATGCCCCCAGAAGAATATACTGATTTGTTTCAGAAACACAAAGGATGTTGGCAAAAAGTAGCTTTAATATCATTAGATGAGAAGAAATCTCAGTTGTATTGGGTCTTCCCATGATACTCATTTCTAGCTGTACTTGCTAAGGATAGTATAATACAGAAAGTGAGACTACTGTAATTTTAATGATGATATTCATTCCTCTTAATAAATAGGGTACCGTCCTGGGGTGCTGGGGGTAACACAGCTGATTAAGTGTCTGACTCTTGGTTTCGTTTCAGGTCATGGTCTCAGGGTCATGAGATTGAGCCCTGGGAGGGGCTCTGCCTCAGCACAGGGTAGGCTTGGGTTTCTCTTTCCCTCAGCCCACATCCCTCTCATGCTCATTCTCTCCCTCTCTCTCTCTAAAATAAATAAATAAATCTTAAAAAAAAATACATAGGGTACTGTCCCAACATGTAACAATATACATGAAAAAGAGCATTACAGGCAAAATATTTAAGGCTTTAATTTTTACCCAGGCTGCATCTAGCTTAAACTGTGAAAAAAGTGTATCAGTGGCAACCTGCAGACTTTCCCTTCTCATTTTTTTTTTTTTGAGCCAGGAAAATCTGAATAGTAATAACTGTCTTTGAAAAGCATCCATGTCAACAATCAATACTGAATAAACACAGTCCTCTCTTAGTAAGTATGAACAAACAGAATGATCACTGGAAAGGTGTAAGACTTAGAAGCTCTAAATAAATAAGTGATCTGATAATACTAAGCAAATATTCCTATGTGGTTAAACATAATAAAGTTATGGAATAAATATAAAATATATTTTAATAAGACTTGCAAAGAAAATGCAAATACAAACCAGAATATGCACTATAGTGAACATATATATATATATATATTTGTCTAAAAGTTCCCCTGCCTTATTTTTCTGGGAAATTCTTTCTTTCACCCTTCAATTATGAGAAGAGAGAAAAATCTGTTATTATCTTGTAAGTACTGACATATCCCCAACTCCCACTCCAGCACTCTATCCTTGCCTCATTGATAGGTTCTGCTAGTGTTGACGACACTTTGTTCAAACAGGTTAAGGCATCACTCTGGAGAACCCAGCCCATAGGTGCACACTTGGTAAGAAGACAGCACTATGTAGGAATTGTAAAAAATAACAGCTATCTTTTCCAATGGGCAAACAGACAGTGTTACTGTACATAAATTAGCAAGCAAGGTGAATGGATTTCATTCCTCTTAGGCCTTCTTTCATCTAGTGCTCTTGCCTTCTGGCCACAGTTGACTGAACCTATACTGAAACTTGACTTGAGGCAGACCACCAAGAGTCTGGCTTAGTGTATTGGTCTTAGAAACAGAGATGGCATTTCATTTTAAGACAAAAATCAAGACGTGAAAAATCAGAATAAAACACAGCTCTGAAAGATGCTGCGTATTCAAAAAATATATTTGTGTAATATGAGGTTATTTTTTATAGAAATTATTTTCATTATTAGGAAAATTATGTAGAGAAAAGTTACTTAGTAATAAAAAAAACATCATCATCTCTCACACCTGTCTCATTGTCATCTTCATTAGCATCATATGAATCTACATACCCAACTTAATTCAGCAAAATAACTGAAGGTAGTGAAGTGGGGGATATATGATAGTATACCAAATTTCCATATTTAAAACAGGAAGGGTGAAAATACAGATTTGTTTTCATTAAAGATAATGACCAATTAAGGCAAAAAAAAAAAATGTCATGCTTGAGTTGCAAGAGAAACGCCTCCCTTACAAATGAAGGGGAATAACCAAATATTAGCAATCTAACTCAAAGAATACAACACATTCAAACATCTTTTTCAGGAAACTAAAGGCCTGCAGTTTAATACCTAATTGATTATAATCATAAATCAATTAAAAATCATTATCAGTAATTGTACAAAATATAATTGTTAATTTCAAACACTTCTTAAAAAAAAAAAAAACCACACTAAGAATAAAGCCTTCAGCAAATGGAAAAAAAAAGACAAATGTTTTATCTGTCAATATTTTTTTGTGTTCCATTCAAAGAAAATACCCAAACTTTCATGCCCAAAATACTGCACCATGGGTTTTGGGAATGGTGCGGGGAGAATGCAGGTAATTGGTTTAGAGTCAGACTAATGAATTGGATACCTGTGGTTGAAATTCACACTTGAGATTGAGAAGATGATGGGGTTTGCAAGTAGGGGTTGCACAGGACCAAATTAAGGGCCCATAATCAAGTGGCACATTTTAAAATGCTGGAGAAAAAAAAAAACAAAATAAATCCAAAGAAAGTGGACAGAATACAATAAGGATAAAAGCTCGAGTTAATTAAAAAGACATAGAAACAACCAACCAAAAGTTGCTTTAAATAACCCAATAGAATTCTTAAAGTTTTCATAGATTGATGAAGAAACAAGTTTCAGCAAAAATGAGGGAAATTAGGAATGAAACAGGTGATATAACCGAACCTAAAGCAAACATTAACTAAATAATAAGTAATAAATGACTAGTATCCAACATAACTTGGATAAAATTGAAAATGTCCTTAGAAATAAAAAACAGACTAAAAAATAAATGGATCAAAATTGTAGCATGGAAATTTCCAGCTCTCATCCTCCCTCCAGGAACATCAATTTAAACAACTGCGCATAAAAATACCTTCATAGGAGCCAAGGATTCCAGGTGAGGGGTTGCAGTACCTGGGTGAAGAACAGAAATAACAAAGTGCACACTGAGGGGGGCAGGAAAGAAAGATTCACATCCCCTCATCCCTCCTCCCAAACTTGGCAGCCCCACGCACTCAAGGGAGGACAGTGAAGTGATGACTGCGCACGGACCCCAAAGCCGGTCGCCCCATTAACAGGCCAACTTCTAAGGCTTTGGGTGCCTCCTGGTGGGCTCCCACAAACCCGGCTCCTGCTCACCTCGCCTCCAGCTGCTTCCGCAATCCTGGTGGTGTCCTGGGCACCAGGCTTCCGGCTCTCTGCGCGCCTTACGGCAACACGGCATTAACGCTCTCCTCCGCGCCTTACGGCAGACGTCCTGGACACCAGGCTCTCCTTGGACTCCCGAGAATCTAGGCGTGGGCTCTCTTTGGTGTCTGCTGGCCTCCGGCGGGTCCCGAGCCAATAAGCTCCCGTCCGGCTTTTACAAACCCAGGTCTCCCAGCTCCAGCTACCCCAGGCGGCTCCTACGGCTTCAGGTGACTTCCTCAGCTCAGGCTCCCAGAGCGTGCCTTGAAGGCAGGCCCCAGCCCACACAGGCATGGGCTGAAGCAGCCCCATATGGGCCCCGGGCGTTTTCCTCGGCACCAGGCTCTCTACGAGCTCCTGAGAACCCAACCCCTTGGCTTTGGTGGCTTCCTCAATTCCAGGTTCCCAGAGAGCCTGTGAATGCAGGCCCCCGGCTTACCAGGTCACTGGCCGGCTCCAGCACCCCCAGATGGCGCTTTCATGCCCAGGCGGCTTCCTCAGCACCAGGCTCTCATTGAGTTCCCGGAAGCCCAGTTGCTGGGTCCACTTAAGTGCCTGTGGCTCCCTCAGCTCCTGTGGACCGATGCTCCCAATGGCCCCCTGTGGACCCAGAGTCCAGGCTCACCCTATCTGTTCTTAGTGCCTGGTTGACGTCTGTGGGCGCAGAATCTAGGTCCCGGGTCCATCACAACAGACTCAAGTGCCAGACCCACCCCAGTGAACCTAGGCTCCAGACCTGCTTCTACATGCCCAGGCATCAGGTTGGACCACCTGCGGACCCAGACACCAGATCCACCTGCCTCAGGACTCCCAACAGCAAGTCCACCTGTGGACACCACCAGACTCTTTAGAGGGGCTGACCAGTGAAGGACTTTGCCTGCAAAAGCCAGTCTATAAAAACTGGAAGAGGTACCTACATCCTCCAATGTGCAGACACCAACACAGTGCCATAAGGATCATGATTATCATGGAAACATGACACCACCAAAGGAAACCAATAAAACTCCCAACAATTGATCCCAAAGAGACGGACATCTATGTATTGTCTGAGGAACTCAGAATAATCTCCTTAAGGAAATGCAATAAACTATTATCCTTTAATTTACTATATTTGCTGCTGGTGGACAGGGATTTTGATAGCTTCTACCATACTAGTTCTGCCAAACTTGCCTGATACTGTCAGCAGAACTCCCATTTGACCCACCGGAGAAGTGAGTCTGCCTGATCTGGGCTATCTTCTATTGTTGGTTTGGAGATTGGGAAATGCCAGTCCTGGGCTGTCGCCTTCTGCTGTGGTGTTGTTCCAGTCCTCAGGTATCTCCGTAACAAAATGAATTCACCTTCATACTACTTTTCACTGTTCTCCTTTGGTTTTCTCTTGTGTTCTTTCTAGGCCTTACAGTTGTATTTGAGTCTTAATTATTTTGTCCTGACCAGAAATCCTCAACCACTTCTTTGAGACCTTCCTACTAAAGATTAATATATAAAATTCTGCCTCCTTTTGTATATATGTTTGCATACACAGCTAGCTAGAGGAAAAGTAAATAAGATGTAAATAACGACAACAAACAAAAAACATGGATTACTGAGACTTAGATGACAAAAAAAAAAGTAATAGTTTTATCTGCAAGAACATTAGGAAACATTCATTTCCTAATACATACTGAGATTTGTTTCTTTTCTTTTTTTTTTTTTTTAAAGATTTTATTTATTTTTTGACAGAGAGAGACATAGCGAGAGCAGGAACACAAGCAGGGGGAGTGGGAGAGGGAGAAGCAGGCTTCCCGCAGAGCAGGGAGCCCGATGTGGGACTCGATCCCAGGACCCTGGGATCATGACCTGAGCCGAAGGCAGGCGCTTAACGACTGAGCCACCCAGGCACCCCCTGAGATTTGTTTCTAACTCCAGTTTTTAATATTGGTGAAATTCAGAACACACTTTTGTTTCTTTTGGGAATGCTTTTGTCAATGATGTGTTGTTTTCAAGTGTTCTATGGCTAATATTACTACAGGAAGAAAATTTTCTCTCATTAAAGTGTATTTTAGACAAAATTTTTTAAATGAAGAAGTTAATGTCACCAGGACTATTACTTGGATTCATAGATATTTGTTCAATAACCAGTGGTGTAGTTTAAGGACTATAAACTGCTTATCATTAAACTGCAAAGATATAGCAAGGCTTTTAGTTATCTAACTAAGCATGATTACTAAGAGCTCAGTATCACATTTTATTCTCTTTCAGCACCATAGGTACAATATTTCATGGTTTTCAAACTCTCTTAGCCTGATGTTCAATTGTGTAAGAAGTCCCTGTTTACGATGAGAAGGACTTATGCTATGCTTTGAGTCCTTTCATAAAGCTTCTTTCTGTAAAGATTCTGTTCTTTTGAGCCAAACTTTAAAATTCTTGGAATTTTCCTGGTAGGGGATATATGTCAAATCCATCTCTGTTTTTATCACAATAGCCAAACTGAACAATAACTGTGTTTCTTATTTGTTGATCCTCCTTACTGTATGTGCTGGAAATCTCTTATGTACTTTATAGCTAAGTTGGAGGGGATTCTAAAATATGAAACACTTACATAAAAAAAGTCAGGGTTGTAAGTTGAGTAGAGTCCTTATGAGGGAGACATAAGCTTGCCCATCAGCTCTTTCTAGGTGTATGATAGTACTAACCACTTATAGTAAGTGTAGTAACTGAGAGATCTAATCCTAACAGTGCAACTGGATAATCTCTAAGAAATTCAGACTCACACAGAGCACTAACTCAACATTGTCGAAACAGTTGAATCCAATTACAGATGTCTGTGCTGTCATCCATTGTATCTATTCTGGGGTTTCTGAAATTATTAATAACTACACTAGCTATCTTCTCAGAAGAGAGGAAAGTATAATAGGGGAAAACAGAATAGTGCAGTACATTTTCAAATTAATACTTACATATGGATAATGTGATGGTGGACTTCTACAGCAATCCAACAAACAGCTGATCTTACATGCCTTAAAGGCTTGTTCCTCTGAGAGAGATAGCAGTCCAGTCACTTGATCTATTTTTGCTCCAACTGCCTTTTCCCAAGAATGTGACTTAGCAAAGCAGCAGGGTCACTGAAAGGTGATACACATTTTATTCAATGACTTTGAATGGAGATGCTGCTTTGTACAGCTTCTATAAGGTCCAAGCTGTAATTAAAAGTTCTCAAACTTCCTCAACTGTCTTTAGGAAGAGGGGTTCTTTGTGGGCTGCAATTATAGAATCCATAGTATGTATCATACATTTTGTACAGTTGACTACTGGTTGAGGCAGTAGCATAGCAAAATCAAATTAATTAGCACACATAAACATTTGTAGTAGTGCCTGGCATATAGTATGCAATAATAAAAAAAACTTATTTTTAATGATACCAGCCATTTCCTTTTTATCTCAGCCAGGCAAAAATCAACCAGAGAGAATTATTACAACAAAAAGAAAAACAGTAGCAATAACAGCAACTGAGTAAAATACGGACAAAATGTACCCCCAATAAATTTTAGAGTCAAGAATTAAAACCAGTGTATCTGATCCTAAGGCTCATACATATAAACATTTTGCTATTTTGCATGCAGGACATGCTAAATTTATCAACTGCTACTCCCAGAAGTTTGAAGAATTTTGCTTCCAGTTGATCAGTAGCTGTTACATGTTATAGACTAAGAGAAGAAAATATAGGAATGCAGGAGACTATGTCATGCATCATCAAGCTGAGAGAGCTAACACTAGCAGCAATTTTTTAAAATACTTCCTCTGCTGGCTTCTCAGAATACAGAGCTGCCCAAATCAGTGGGGTTAAAAAACACAAATCTCTGCTACTGAACAGGGGGAGAAAAAAGGAAACTTTACTATGAGAACAATAGTGGCAAGACTGTCTCTGCTTACTATCATACTTGATACAAATAATTTTTCACTTATTTTTCCATAATCCTTATACCGATACAAATTTAATTTGTACACAAATACATCTAAAACAAGTTTTCAAATTATCTTTTTCTAAAATCCTGAAATATTTAGAATTATGATAAATGCTAATATAATAAAAAATCATAGTACCAATTATGCAATGTTTTTTGTTTTGATTAGAGCATATCATTTAAATATACAAGAGCAAATTCAATGATAGTTTCATGAAGATCCAAAATAAACTTATTTAGGCCATATACACATGCACACTATGGTTTTTCTAAAGCTTTTTTACTATACTTGGTATTGATACCAGTGAAAAATTTCAATCATTTATAAGGACATTTGTATGTATTTATAAGGAGAACCAAAAGATGCTTATTGTTTCAAACACCATCAGTACAGCCATCTGAGTTTATTCTGGAACCCTTTCTAAAATCTTGATAAAACTCAGAAATCATTAATATTCACAGCACTATCAGAAATCATTTTGCAGAGAGTCAATTTCACTTATTTGAGTGAGTCAGTTCAGTTCAGTAAGTCAGTTCACTTATTTGCGGAACATAAGGAATAGCATGGAGGACATTAGGAGAAGGAAGGGAAAAACGAAGGGGGAGAAATCAGAGGGGGAGAGGAACCATGAGAGACTGTGGACTCTGGGAAACAAACTGAGGGTTTTAGAGGGGAGGGGGAGATGAATTAGCCCAGTGATGGGTATTAACAAGGGCACGTATTGCATGGAGCACTGGGTGTTATACACAAACAACAAATCATGGAACACTACATCAAAAACTAATGATGTACTGTATGGTGACTAACATAACATCATAACATAATAATAAAAAAAAAAGAAATCATTTTGGCATTCTACTTATCATCAGTGTTACAGAATTCATTCCATTGAGATAGTATGACTAGTTAACTGATCACTCTCATTACTAAAGACCCATGGTTTGTCCCAAGAAATGGAGAAAACCCTCAGTGTGAAACAAAGTAGAGCGGAATGCACACTTTGTGGATTAATTATCAGCAATAGGTTCTATAGCAACCACAGTGTCAGCAATCACAAT